TTTATATTTTAAGGTAATAAAAGGACCAAAAAAAAAAAAAAAAAAAAAAAAATATATATATATATATATATATATATATATATATATATATATATATACACACACTAATACTAATACAAATAATGTTACAGCACCTTTTGATTTGTTCAGTATTTTACTTTTTGACTTGCTCACGGCTGATCTATCTTCACCTGTTTTTTTAGATCTATTAAGTCGTAGCAATCTTTTGTCCACAGCCCTCTCCAGTTGACCATAAGGAGGTAGTGAGCAATGTGAACATAAAATTTTATCACAATATTTTGTAGCATTTATTGTGATAATGAAAGTTATTTGTAGCTTCTTTTCAGTATTTCTAGGTAACTGCACAATTTCCATTTGGAAATAAGCTTCTTCAGGATATAAGTGATGTAAAAATGTGACTCCTAACACTAAATTGCACCCAGTTAATACATTTAGTCATATGTATTACATGTCACATGGAATCAATCGAACCAACACTACAGCCAGTTTTTGGTGTTCCATACATCTTTCATTGGAAATTATTGTTGCTACAATAAATTTAAAGTCCTTATGATAATAAATTTTAGCGATTTGGTAAACGATATGATAAATGCCAATCCCTACTCCTATAGATCTTCAATCAGTTTCATTTCTGGACTGGCTAATCCATTCCAGAACATTCCAACGCCATTCATAAAGTTATTCTTTGGTGTGATGCTGAAAAATAAAATTCAGTTTTCTTCATCAGAAGATTTTGGAACTGTTTATATTGTCCAATACCCCAGTCCCATCTAAAGAAACAAAACCCAATAGCATGATGTTGTCACTAAACCATGTTTCACTGTGAGTATATTCGCTTGGTAATTTTTACTGTTTTGGTTTCAAACGTATCTTTGAGAACTTGGGCGGAAATGCACTGGATTGGTTTTGTTTCCCCACAAGGTTTAAGGTTTTAGCCATGAAAGAGTGTTTCCTTTGCAGTCAGGGCTTCTTTTTTAACAGCCCCATTTATGGCGATAAAAAATCTTGGATACAGCAGGTTTGGATGTGGTTCACACACCACACACAAGCTGATTTCACTCACCAACATTCAGACGTCAGATAGGAAATCTCTCAAAACGTCTCAAGATCAAACCTGAGGTTAGAGTAAGCAAACATGGCCGACTGGGAAGAAGCAATGACAATAGATTGTGGACTATATTTAACAGAAAAAAAAAACAAAAAAACAAGGACGTTTCCAATGTCCACCGGAATTTCTCTTGCATAATGGCAGTTGTTGTGTTTTCTGTGTACTCGCTGTCTTTCTGTCACCTCACTTTCTGATTGGCTAAAAGTCATAATGAAAAGGTTGTGCTTTTGTTTGTCCCAAAGAAACACTCCTCCCACTGAGATACCGAGCCAAAACAATCCAACGTTTTGAATATCCTCAACTTTTGATCGGATCGGTCCCACTGTCTTTCCGAGCAGACCAGATCACTCTTAACACACCGCACAGTGCAGGAATTTCTCCTAAGATTAACTTTACAACCTTCCTGATAATTAGGGCATTTTTATGATTGTCAGAAGGGGAAAATCAGGGCAAAAATCAGCAAAAAATCTTGTCGTGTCAACTAGGGATTAGGTGCTATCTACCTACCAAATGGTTGTAGTTTTTATGTTCTACCATACCAACTTAAAGATTTGCTAAACACAACTGGTACTTTACCTGGTTTGGATGAGATCTAGGGCCTGTCCATATGGGAACATTTTCTCCTAAAACAGGTTGTCAGTTTCAAAAACAATTGTGTCCGCATGGGACAGTTTCAAGAAATGTTTTTACCCAAACAGAAACACCAATAATAGCCCAATATGCTGTTTACTCCCCCAGATGTGTTAGTGGTGCGAAACATGGAGCATATATGCGCCTCCACACAAGTGTAACAGTAAACAGGACAAGAAAACAAGAATAGAAAACAGGAATGGCAAACAAGGCGCGAGTGGAGTCTTGTAGAACTTCAGCATTGTTGCTATTATGATGCATTTGGGGTGGTAGATGAGGTTAGAGATTTGGCTAATATGTCAACTTTTTCACATGAATTTGTTGTGCACATGAATATGTGAGGGCAAAATTTTAACACTCTGGAACCCATTTTGGCTCCCCTAAAACACAGTTTGCATGTGTATCCGAATCTATCTATCTATCTATCTATCTATCTATCTATCTATCTATCTATCTATCTATCTATCTATCTATCTATCTATCTATCTATCTATAGTGTATTAGGGCCAATGTAGATAGATTAAAGGAGTAAAGTTTTGCCAAAAAACTCAAACTTTTGGAAATTTTCTGAGTCACATAATTTCGACTTTTGAAACTCAGAAATTCCTCAAAAATTTTCTAGAATATTTCTAAGACTAATGTAAAAATTTCTGAGTTTTTTGGCTTAAATTTACTACTCCTTTTTCCATCTACAATGGCCCTGATACCCCATTGTACATCCATCTATCTGAAATGCACAGGTATCCGTTAGAATTTTGAACAGATTTGAAAATGACAAGTTTTTATCCTTACAACGAACATAAAACCAAAGGAAAAAATGAATATGCCGTTTACTTTGGTAAATGGGTGAGGTTTTAAAAGATACTTCAGAGTCTGCACATATTTACTTGTATAAAGGGTTGACCAATAAAAAAGTGTGCTGGTTACGGCTTGAAAGCACGGTGGATGGTTCCTTTGAAGACCAGAGGAGAACAAGAGAGCTGAATGTCAGAAGACATTCGCGCTAAAAATGGAAAGTCCTCCTCCAGAGCTGTCGACGCGGAGCTAAATATCATGTCAGATAATCGTTTGTGCTGTTCTTGTTTTTTATAATTTCAGAACGGTGAAACGAGCGGTGAGAGTCCGCTACCTCCTGATAGATGTGACGCTGCGGCGGGCGGCAGCGGAGAGAGATTTCCTTCCCTCGCGGACGGACAAACAAGGCGCGGAGAGGAGAGCGAGAGGGAGCCAATCACACGTCCAGACCAGCGGTGGGCGGAGCTGAGAGGCGGCGTCTCAACCAGTGAAAGCTCGCGAAGAGCGCCGAAACCCCACGTGGGTGTTGAGATCCGAACGACACCAAGAAGAATTCTGGCCAATCAGGGCCCCGAAAGGTGTTAATCTCGACGCTGATTGGCTCCTTGTTTTTTCTCTCTATAGAGTCCCGTCACTCAACACGCTTAGCCCATCGTTTTTAACTCTTTCCTACCACACGGGATGGCGCTGCCCATAAAGCACAAACCTGCTCTGTAATAGCTAAATGTGAATTAATGAATGACTCAGAGGCGGTTTGTTTTTAGAAACGCGATACATAAGTTAGTCCGGACTGATTCAAAGCCTCGTTTCAGACATATTCAAAGAAAGCAAGAGTGACATGGTGAAGAACTATAGTGGAGCAGCGGATCAGTGCAGCAGCTTTCTGGTTTTTAACGTGTTGACTTGATCATAATCAAATCAGCATGCAAGAAAACGATTAGATTAAAAGCACATGAGAAGACCATGCTTAGCAGTGAGGTATAACCCACATTCACACACCCAGAGCCTAAAATTCTCCTTCCCCAAACTGGGCACAAGAGCACAAGAAAAGCGGAGTCAGGCACTGAGCATTGACTGAAAGTGATCCGAACAAAGAGAACAGTCTCTCCAGTCCATCCTTCTTATTTTAAGAATAACTGCACTGATCTTTGATAGTCGATGACGCCTCACGTGTCGTAAGCTCTTTTCACTTTATGCAACGTCCCCCCGCCCCCTCCACACACACACACACACACACACCCCACAGCCCCCCAAAAGCAATAAACATGAACGCATCCATTTTAAATAGCACTACAGTCCGTCCCTCCGCGCTATGCAGTCATACAGGCACCAACACTGACAAACCGAGCATCAATCTTCTCTCGTTCGTTTTTTTTGCAACCTCCGAAAAATATATAGGAAAGGTAGTCATATCAGGAAGGAGCAGGAGAAGGCTGTCATCGCCTCTCTGTGGTTGCTTTGTGTATTGAAAAGAACGGCCAGAGTGTGAGAGAACAGAATGATTTGATCTGGTTTAGATCTTTTGAGTTATTTGTATCGTAGTTCTATAGTGTTACTGGATTCCGGGCACGTGCCCCACATAAGCGACGTGGTATGCGCATCTCAGCCTACTGAGACGATATGATGCAAAAGTTTCTATACGCCGCAAATCCAATTTAAAAGCCAGTCTGATTTTTAAGATTTTTATTATTATTTTTTATTATAATCTGACATCAATAAAGCATATCTTTTAACACAGAAATGCAAGTATTTCCATACACTTGTACAGAGTTCAAAACTTGGTTGTGTCTTGTTTTTGGAGGAGTTACTGCATCAATGCGGAGTGACAAGGAGGAGACCAGTCCGTGGTTGTGCCGTTGCCAAGGAAAACCAGGTTTCTTTAATAGCATTGTTGGTTCTGTGGGTCTAGTTTTGGTCATTAGAGTTTTCTCCAGTCAATCACAGTGATTCCATAGATACTAAAGTGAGTATTAGTACCTTTGACTGTATGGCTAGGTGTCCAGGCTGCTGGGAAATAAAATCATCTTCTCCATAAAACTTTTCAGCATAGAGGGTCAGTGTTCTAAGATATCTATGGACTCAATAAGACCCAGTGGACCAACACTAGCAGGTGACATGGCATCCTACATCATCTCAAGCTGCGTTTCCATTACAAATGTGCGCAAAAATGTGTCTATTCTCAATTTCTCAATTGCTGTGTTTCCGTTAAATAAGAAACGTAATTAAAATCACAAGTGAATAAGTTTGTTCAAATGATAAAGTCATTAAAAACACACAGCGCCATCATCCTACCACTTCCTGCCGTTTTCCTCGCATCAGCTGCGTCATCCGGTTGTTGATCATATGACACGTGTGATACGCAAAAACTGTTTCCATTGCAGTTTTGAGAAATTAATTCAATGAATTTCAACACGAGAGGGAGCTGTAAATCGCAACATGGCCAAAAACAAAAAACGAAAACACCTCATCCTGATGCCAAAACCCTTTAATCGAAAAATAAGTTTCTTTGAGATTGAGGTTTATTTTCGAAATATCGAATTGCTCAATTATGGGGTCAATGGAAATACAGCTACTGACTGAAAATTTCATCCAGAACCAGAGACATCATGGATTCTGGACTTGTATTTCCATTTTCAAATGAAACACAAACTTTACTTTCTCCTAAAATATATTTTAGAAAAAGAGGTTGTTGGTATTCCCTCTGGTTCCAGAAGACTTTAAAATAATGCTACCATTCTGAATACTGACTTCAGGGAAATCGACTCATTGGGAATTTACCTGAATCTCTATAACAAATTTTCCTTTCACAGAACTTTCCTTGAATGAACTTGCATACAGCATTCTGTGAACATCCAGCTTCTTTACCAGCGGCGATTTACGGCTCCCTCTTGTGAAGTTTCAATGACTGTCTGCTGAACAACTGCCAAGTGAGCAATGTTCCCATCAATTTTTAATTCAGATATTTTTTAATTTAAATTTGCTTATTTATTTTATGTAGTATCCTAACTTTCTAAGGAACCACATTTTATTTCTTTTCTCTTTGATAATGATTTTTTTTTATAGAATGAAAATGGAGAAATAATATTTCCAGATGTATTTCTGTAACAAGTGATTGAAATGATCTTTTTATGGACATTGTGGTTGTTTCAGATGAATGTTTTGTCCAGAAAAAATATGTTTGGTACTGGAAAAAAGTGATCAGAATTTACAGCAGAGACCAGAAGAACTTCCTTTTCCTCTGCTCATCTCTACAGAGTGGCAAAGGAGCAGAGAAAGAGGGGGGAAAAAACAGAGATGAGGCCGAAGATGAAAGGCTCAGCTTGATGGACATGGAGGAGAGGTTCCACTAAAAACAACCGGTGACTCTCTTTTCTGTCCCACATCCGACGTGTTTCACACCGCCTCGTTTACACCAGGTCTTCGTCGGCTGCGGCAGCTAGCTGGTCTCAGACTCATTCACGCCCGCTGCAGCTCGTTTTATTTTCCAGGAAACAAACAAACAAAAAAGAAAACAGGTCTTAAGTTTCTGATGAACCAATTCATAGTTTCTTAGAATCAAAAAAAAAAAAAAAGAGTCAGGTACGCGGCTGCCAGAGAATTGTGGAAAACCCCGACATCAGAACTCATAGAAAGATTATTTGATTTTTATCTTTGTTTCTGTTTTCATAAGCAAATATTTACAATAGATTTCTGCTCTTTTACCTTAAACAGAAGAATCAGAATTAGCTTTAGTTTTCGTCACATGCTCACAGCATTAAATACAAACATGTAAAGGTTTTTTTTAAAAACAACTAAAGAAACACTATGTACATATCAATGTGCACAGCTAATATTTCCTTGTTATGAATAGTGCAAATATGTTCATCTTGTTTCACAGCAGAGAAGCTGACTTACCTAGGCTGTGATGGGTTCATTGTGTTCATCAGAGACAGCCTGTGGGAAGAAACGTTCTCAGAGGCAGCTGGTTTTATCGCTTTGTAGCAACGACCTGAAGGTAAAAGTCTAGGCGGTTTGTGTCCAGGATGTGTGGGGTCTGCAGAGATGCTCGTGGCCCCTTTCCTGACCTGACCTGACATACTTTAGCTTTGACCTGACTGTTCTTTGCAGTTTGGACCTGTCCTGTTTGTTGGATGATGGATGAACGCAGAACAGGCTGAATGATAGCACCGTATGATGATGAGTAGCTGCTCCTACGGAAGCCTGGACTTCCTGAATCGCTGCAGGACGTTCAGTTTCTGCTGTGCTTTCATCCAAACACTAGCTGTGTCTTCATTACAAATGTGTGCAAATCTTTGTCTATATTCTGCTAATGTGAGAACCCCCCAACCCCCCACCCCCGCAAAAAACCCCGAATTTCACAATTATAGTGTTTCCTTTAAAAAAGAAATGAAATTAGAATCAGGTGAATACGTTTGGTGACGCAATAAGTCATTAAAAATCACGGCTGTGATAGATGTACACAGTTCCATGAGATATAGTCATAATTCAGCCATGGTGCTAGCGCTCATCATGTATCAGCCAATCAGAGGAGACGTCAGCGTCTTATTTGGGCTAACTCGCTTACTTGTTAGTGGCTGCATATGCAGCGTTTTACAGAAGAGTTATGGATTCAACACGTTAGAACTGTGTGATGCTGTGAGTGCTCCAAAGGAGCCAGTTGACCTTTCTCCAAGAAAACAAACCATCATCCTCCTACAACTTCCTGTTGTCTTCTTCATCATTTTCGCCAGTAGTAACATCTGGCTGTTGATCATGTGACTCGTGACGTGAAAAAAAGGAGTTTCCATTGCAGCTTTGAGAGACACATTTGTTCTAATGTGGATGAAAAACCACCTGATCATAGCTCAAAAACTTGAGTGAGCTTTTTCGAAACTGTTTTGTTTCCTTAAGTAAATTTATTTTTGCAATTTCAATTTCTGCAATTTTATGGTCAGTGAAATGCAGTTACTTATACTCCAAAACAGGAGTCTCTAATCCTGGTCCTTAACATCTACCATCCTGCAGGTTTTCGATGAATCACTGCTTCAGCACCCCTGAATCAAATGACTCATGACCTGCTGAAGAGGTCATGCAATCACTGTAATGCACGCACACACTGTTGTATAGTCAAAGTTCAATACTCCAAGTTGAGATTCATTTTCACTGTTAATGTGTGTGAACTGTGCAGGAAACAGGAAAAGCTGTGAACGACATCCAAAAGGCTCCAGGTGAAACCCTCTCCGGCTCGTTTTTGTTTTGCAAGAAGCGACAACTCGGACAAGCGGCGGACTCAGACATAGATCCGGCTGATCCCACTTTCATTCAGTTCGCAACCTGTGGAAATGAACTGAAGCCCAGACAGGAAGGACGGGGAGGAAGACCAACTTATTGGACTTACAAGAAAAAAAAAAAAAACAGAAATGGAGGAGATGAGAACGACTAGAGGAAGAGACAGAGGAAGAGTGTGAGTCTGAATAGGAAGGGATCGTGGGTAAGGGGGGTGTCTATGTGGTGACTGTGTGTGTTGGTGGGGGGACGAGGGGAGGTTCACTGTGGGGTATGAGGCAGCACCCTGCAGTTCCTAGTAATGGCAGAATAGAACTTAATAGGGTAGAAAAAGGCTGGAGGCTGTTAACTCACAAACGGTCATTTTAAATTCCCCGTTCTCCATCTTTCCCTCTCCTCCGTCTCTCCGTGCACTTTGTGCATCTTTAACTCTTCCCATCCATGTCTGCCTGCCTGTGCCCCCCCACTGCATCCCCCGAAACACACACACACACACACCCCCACACACACTTTTCATCTCTTTTACCTCTCTTTTAACCACTCCTCTCTCCTACCTCTTCCTTCCCATCACTCCTTGCACCCCCCGCCCCCCAGCCTCTCCTTGGAGGAGGTGTAATGATAGCTATTTGAGTGTCATCAGAGGATCGCTGTAATGGCTTCTAAAGCAACATCCCACGGTTGCCACAGTGAACCTGGCACAGCCGCTGTCCCAAAAAAAGGGTAGAAAAAAGAAAAGAAGAAAAAAAAACACATCTGGTTGGTTGTAGACAGGCGTCGCCGTGCCGACAGCAGCAGCAGTTGATGACGCGGCCCCGAGGGGCCACGGAGAGCGAGCTAATGATGCGTGGGATAGGATACATATGAGGACCAAGTACAGTAATAGTGATAATAGAGAGAGTAATGAAAACAATAGCGCTGATAATGATAACAGTGTGTGACTTTTCTGATTTGTTAGCACCATGTCTGACTCTGTCTTCCACATACATGCACCTTTTTTTCCTCCTCTCTTTTTTTCCTCTAATTCTTTTTTTCCCCTCCTTTGTTTTGAAGATTTTTTGCTTTAATTTAAGGAACAGAATGGAAAGGAGATCCACGATTAGAAATTCAAGGATGCAAAAGCATAGATCTGATTTCCATTTTAATTCCTTTATTTTTTTGTTCATTTTTTTATTTTTTTGAAGAGCTGGATGCTGAGCTGACAATGAATTTCATGCATGCACACGCATGCCTGCCACGGAGCCCGTCGCTTAAATATTAGGTAAAAAAAAAAAAAAAAGACGAGAGGAGTGAACGTTAATAGGTGGAACAGGAGAAAACGACTGGATGTTTAAAATAGATGTGAAACTACAGCTTTACTCGGCTCAGGCGTGAACTGGACCTTCTATGTGTTGAACAGCGATGCCCTCTGTAGGTCAGACAGCAGAAGTAGTCAGGATGACTTCAGCTGGTCTAGATTCCAGTTCCTCATGTTTACAATAATTCTAAGCATCCATTTAATGTAATTCTTTTTCAACATCATCCTGAAAAATAAGGCAAAAGCAAAAAAAAACTAAACAAACAAAACAAAACAGCAAAGGGATAAACCTGAAGGTAAGAGGTGAAGGGAACATATTTTTAAAAAATAATTTGAAATGAATTAAGATGTAACATGAACATACTGTCACCCATTAGGCCTGCATGTCATAATGATCTTACACTTCTAAACCTCTATTTAAATTGTTCTTTTTCCTGAATTGAGTAAAACAGGAACTAGTTTGCAGGGTTTTAATTAGTTTTTCTTATCCAGCATCAGATTTTATGCTCCACAAATCTGGAACAAACTTCCAGAAAACTGCAAAACAGCTGAAACACTGAGTTCCTTTAAATCCAGACCAAAAACCCGCCTGCTTAGAGCTGCTGAACCATAATAAATGAAACATTGACCACCATATTTGATGTTTATCAATGATTTTGAACAGTGACCTGCGTCCGGGCAAGAGAACACTGTTCATCAAAAGAAGTCGTTAAGCTAGGACCTGTTTGCAAAGGATGATTCTACCAACCAATGACCAATTAGATCCTTGGATCACTGGGACTTACAAACCCCTCCACCTGGTAAGGTGGCTGTCTCGGAATCCTTTTCCTGGAGGAGCTGGCCCATGTGGCTGGGTAGAACAAAGTCTAGGTCTCTCCCCTTAGACTGTTGCCTCTGACATGATGGATGGACAGACGGACAGACATTGGGGTGCAACTAAGTTCCTTTTGAGGTGTATACAGACACATTATAGGCACTGCCCCAGTAGTTTTCAATGAACAGCTGTTAAATACAGAAAATGCTAATAGAAATAATTATTCCACCATGTTTTGGCGCCTCCTCTAGTGTGGCATCACTATGCATCGCATATAGTAAATACCTACTTTTTGTGTCACTGGATGGACGGATGGAGAAATGAAGGAGGAGGACTACCTCCAAGTTCATTTCAGTTCAAAAGATAAGGTGGTTAAAACCAAGACACAGTTTGGTGTTCCAGCGGGACCGTGAGCCAAACACACACCAAAACTGGGTTTGAAAAGATTAAAGACAGCAAACATTAAGTTTCTGGAATTTAACAGTATTGAAAATTTGTGGACTCTGCGCTAAAAGCAGTGTTTCCGTCAGGAAGTTGACTAATTTAGCATTACAAAAAGTAAACATCCAGGCAGAGGCATGCGAGAAGCTTTTAATGGTCACAAAAGTATGTTTCCATATAACTATCTAAGGCACATTCAACCTAATATTTGGGGTG